TGTCTGTGGCTGTCAGAGCCTTGCAATGCCTCGTGGGACTTGTAGTTCCAAAACAGCCGGAGTGCCGAGGTTCCCCACCACTGGTATAGGGGGATACAATCGCATTGCTGGAAGTACAAGTTAATAGACATGCGCACTGCCAAAAAATTTGTTTAGTTTCGTTTCGTTTTAAATTCGGATTTGTGTTATTTCGTTTTTCAGGATTCGGGTGTGAAAGTCAATTCGGATTCGGATGAAATTCGGTAGCGTTCGTACGAACGTTCATTTCGTTTTCTGTTCTTATTCGTTTCGTTCGTTTGCAGCAAAAGTGACATTTGAGGGGGAAAAAATATTTTTCTCCTTCTCTGATGTCACTTTGCTCCAACGAACGAAACGAATAAGAACAGAAAACGAAATGAACGTTCGTACGAACGCTACCGAATTTCAGGAATGGAAATTCGGATTCGTTTGCATTCGTTATGTCTGGAATTCGGAATTCGGATACATCCGAATGTCCGCATTTCCGAAAATTCGTCCGAATTTCGATTCGCAACGAAACGAATCGCACATGTCTACAAGTTAATCACCCGGTTTGGTACATAAAGTCAGATCGTTCAGACATATATGAAATAGCCTATCCGGTGAACACGCCTAATCCTTGTCTAAATCCACGGTTACAAATGTAAACATACAACTCACATCCTATTAACAGAACATATCAAGAAAAACAAGTCAACACTGCATAAAGTAAGAATAAACGTGTCCATGAACATTGCTAGAACCATCAGTAGCAGGTACGTCAGCAATCGGAGTCTACCTTATTATTGAGGGACGGGTCAGACGTCAAGGGGTACCCCTAAGGAGATATTCGAAAATTAAGGCAGGCGGGCAGGAGGACATCATGGAAGTATATTGCCTTTCTGGCTTCTTGGGGGTCCCGCTAGGGACGGCTAGAGTACATATAATCCCCCCAGGGAGTATGAGAGTTTGGCCGTGAGATACCATGTGGAGGTCTGGATGTCAGACATGATAGTACAAAGTTGGTCGGGGGTGAGGTGCGCCGTGAGGAAGGGGGACCATGTGGAGAAGAAACGGGTTATGCGTTTCTCTTCCTTGTGAGTGT